GAAAATGAAAATGAAAATGAAATAAAAATATTCAGACCAAGAAAAAGTGGAATGCCAGTAAGATACACACCGAGCGTGTAGCCACAGGCGAAAATATTCAGAAGAGAAATAGTGACAAGTTCTTAACTAGACATTTCCATTTGCCCGGAATGAGACAGCCCGGGCAAACGGTTTAGAAGAGAATGAAAAGTGCATGATGCCATCTGTTCCAATGTATCTTCTCGCCTCCTTTCTTTCTATTGGTTTTTTTTCTAATTCAGCCAAATGCAGGTATCTTATATTTTGCTCCTTTCTGGTTGGTTTGGGAAGAAATGGCAGCTCTTATCTTTGATTTAGCGGCTTGCGTTCTTCTTGAGATCCTTAGCAGCTGAATCAGATACCCTCCTGAATGTCTTCTTGGCCATTGCTGTAGACAACCTGGCCAACGCACAAGAGTTGACCAAGGTGAGTGAGAGAGCGGGGAGGGAGGGGGAGGGAGAGACACACACAGAAGGAGAGAGGGGGGAGAGGGAGGGAAAGACGGAAGGAGACAGAGACAGAGAGACAGAGACACAAAAAGAGAAGACAAAGAGAGAGAGAGACATATGCACAGAAAAGCCAGAGAGAGAAACAGAGAGACAGAGAGGGAGACAGAGACAGAAGGAGACAGAGACACAGAGAGAGAAGGCACAGAGAGAGAGACACAGAGAGAAAAGACAGAAAGAGAACAGAGAGACAGAGTGGAAGAGGGAGAGGGAGGTAGAGACAGAAGGAGAGAGAGAGAGAGAAGTCAAAGAGAGAGAGAGAGATGCACAGAAAAGACGGAGAGAGAAACAGAGAGACAGAGTGGAAGAGGGAGAGGGAGGGAGAGTCAGAAGGAGACAGAGAGAGAGAGAGAGACCAAGACAGAGACAGAGAGAGACAGAGAGAAGGTACACAGAGAGAGAGACAGAGAGAAAAGACAGAAAGAGAACAGACAGAGAGAGAGAAAAGGAGAGGGAGGGAGAGTCAGAAGGAGACACAGAGAGAGAGAGACAGAGAGAAAAGACAGAAAGGGAACAGAGAGAGAGAGGAAGAGGGGGAGGGAGGGAGTCAGAAGGAGACAGAGAGAGACAGAGACACAGAGAGAAGACACAGAGAGAAAAGACAGAGAGAGAAAAGACAGAGAGAGAACAGAGAGACACAGAGAGGGAAAGGGAGGGAGAGTCAGAAGGAGACACACAGAGACACACAGAGAAAAGACAGAAAGAGAACAGAGAGACACAGAGAGAGGGGGGAGAGGGAGGGAGGGAGAGACAGAAGGAGAGAGAGAGACAGACAGAGAGAGGAAGAGAGAGAAGACAGAGAAATGGACACGTTTCACTTCTCATCCAAGAAGCTTCTTCAATTCTGCCAGAACTCAAGAGGCTTCTTGGATGAGAAGTAAAACCTCTTCAAGGAAAAAACAAGTCCAGTTCTCTTTTGGAAAAGCCCCTTCGGGCCAATCCTGACCGGAATGATTGAGAATTTTTACAGACACGAATCAAGTTTGTCTCTCTCTGCTCCCTTGTTCTCCTTTGCAGGACGAAGAAGAAATGGAAGAAGCTACCAACCAAAAACTTGCCTTGCAGAAGGCGAAGGAGGTTGCAGACGTTAGCCCCCTGTCAGCCGCCAACATTTCCATCACAGCGTAAGAGTTCATGGATTTACCTACCTTAGATAGAGTAACCCTTTTCCTCCCAATCGGGGGTCCCCAAACCCCCCCAGTCCACGGGCCGGCACTGGACCACAGCATGCCCCAAACTGGGCCAGCCAAACCAGGAAGCCCCATCCTTGGGATGCAGGCAGTACCCTAAACCTTGACACCCTTGAGCCACGGTGGCGCAGTGGTTAGAGTGCGGTACTGCAGGCGACTTCTGCTGACNTCTGGCAACTCTGCGCATGTGCAAATCAGGAACAGGCTCCAGTTGTTCTTTTGCCTCACTGAGGTCTGACTCTGAAGGCAGCTGATAACTGGCATAGGGCTCTGGCCCCCTCTCTGCCTCCGACACAGAGCCCTCCTCAGAGCCTTCCCTAGACTCCAGCCTGGGGAGGGTGAAAATCCCCCCCCCCCACCGTGGTGCAGGAGGCCAGGTCGGCCACGCCCACCAGGCAGAGAACTGGTTGGTAACATTTTTCAATCCCACCCCATGGTACCTGACCACAGGTAGGCGACTGATGAAGCTTTACTACCAGGCTCAGATGGAAAAATACCTGATATGACCCTTGTCCATCCCAGGTGCTCTTCAGTCGTATGGGCGGTGATTCCCAGAATTCCTAATTCGGTTTATTTTGACATCCTAGGTACTGGAATTCTTTGAGGAACTTGGTGGTCTCCTTGCTGAACTCGATGAAGTCCATCATTAGCCTGCTGTTCCTCCTCTTCCTCTTCATTGTCGTGTTTGCCTTGCTGGGAATGCAGCTTTTTGGAGGGCAGTAAGTTGGATTCAACAGTCTTCTCTGTCGGAGAAATCCGGCAGCAGGAAACCGATATTTCACCAACGATGGAATGTTTCCATTTTCTTTCTGTTTTCTGGCAGATGGGGTGGGCCCTCAAAGTCCTTCTGTGTTCCTTGGCGGCCTGTATATTAATACTCAGCTCTTCCTAGGTTTCACTTCAATGATGAAACACCAACCACCAACTTTGATACCTTTCCCACTGCCATTCTCACTGTGTTTCAGGTAAGCATCTTCTTCTCTTTCTCCTTCTCCTTCTCCTTCATCTTCTTCTTCCTTCTCTTTCACCTTCTCCTCCCCCTTCCCCTTCTCCTTCCTCCTCATTTTTATTCCTCTTCCTCCTCCTCTTTCATCCCCTCCTTCCTCCCCTCCTCCTCCTCCTTTGCCATTGCCTTGGGTGGTTTCTGCTCAGAGAAATTCCATATCGAAATNCCCCAGACTCTGGAGGCCCTCTGGAGGCCGGAAACAGGCCTGTTTTCGGACTTCCGGTAGGCCCGTTTTTTGCCCTCCCCATGCTCCGGAGGCTTTCCTCAAACCTCCAGGAGGGCAAAAACGTCCTCCCCAACAGGCCTCATTTCCGGACTTCTGAGCAGCCCATTTTTTGCCCTCCCAGAGCCTCCACACAGGCTCTGCACTTCATTGGCATGGTGAATAGGCCGTGTGAAGACACCTGGAAGGAGCGGGATGGATTGGGCGCGGCCAGCCGGCCTTTGCAATAACCAGTTCGCCTGAACCTGTGCGAACCGGCTGAATCCCACCCCTGGTCTACATCCATGCCCGTAGAGGGAATCTAGGAGAAGCTGGTTGCACCTCTCTCTTCTGCAAGATGTAGAGTTCAAAGCTGGAGCATGACGAATACCAGGGTCTTGGCCTCTGCTTCGAGTGGTTCTTGTCCAAGCTGCTTCTGCAAGATTGATTACACAGACTAGGATGGGGTTACAGACATTCCAGCAAGTGAACTCTTTCCCATCAGGATCAATATTTCCCTCCCCTACGTTAAGGCAACGGTGCCCTCGTTTCCCATTTTTACCGTATTTCTGCAAACTGGTAAGCCCCCTTCTCTATTTTACAGGAGGTTGCAAATGACAGCTTACAAAGCAGTTTCCGGAAATTCTTCTCATTCCGGGTACTGAGCGATAGAAGAGGGTGCTATTTTTAGGACTGTGTCAGAAGAGCACGGGGGCATAAGTATCCCCCTCCTTCCATTTTATTCAAATATATGGTGGTTTTTTTTCTTGTGTTACAGGCCTACGTCTCATAGCTGCTCTGTGATCCTAGTTTAAAAAAAACAACAATAGATTCAAGTTAAGATAATTCCTGCGTTCACTTCTATAGTTGCAATTCAAACATAATGCACAGCCCTTGTAGTTTTGCAAAAAAAACGCCCTTCCTCCTCCTCTTCTTCCCCTTCCTCTCCCTCTTCTTCTTCTTCTTCTTCTCCTTCTTCTTCTCCTTCTTCTTCTTCTTCCTCCTCCTCCTCCCCTTCTTCTTCTTTTTCCTCCTCCTCACCTCTTCCTCTTTCTCTTCCTGCTCCTCCTCCTCCTCGTCTCCTCTTCCTCCTCCTCCCTTCTTCTTCTTCCTCCTCCTCCTCTTCTCCTTTCTTTCTCCTCTTCCTCTTCCTCCTCCCCCCTCCTCTTCCTCCTCCTCCCTTCTTCTTCCTCTTACTCCTCCTCTTCTCCTTTCTTTCTCCTCTTCCTCCTCTTCCTCTTCCTCCTCCCCACCTCCTCCTCCATTTCTCCTTCTTTCTCTTCCTCTTCCTCCTCCTCATCTTCCTCCTCCCTTCTTCTTTGTCTTCTTCTTCATCATCATCATCATCATATTATTATTATTATATCTCGTCCTATTTCTTTTCTGACCATCTGGGCAGAACTGGGAAATAAATCCTTCCCCCCAAGAGAACAGAATAGCAAAGATATGCCATTGCCTTAAAAAAAGTGGAGCCATGTGGAATCTGAAGAGCGTGAGGCCAGCAAAGGAACGGGAGACAACTCATTTAAACAACACCCTATCTTGTTCTCAGAACCTAAACACTTAGCACCCATCATCCTTTGCTTTCATGCAGGTGATT